ACAGAAGAAATGCGGATACACTCACGCCCGTTCATTTAGCAATGAGGATTTTACAAGACACGCAGGGCTTCTCTTGACGTGCTGCACCCAACTGAAGAGTCATATTACCCCAGTTAAGCTCGCCCGTGTCTCAGGCAGATACAGCAGGCGAAGTGTGCCTTGCAAAGCGCATGTAAGGAAGCTGCACTTAGATGTCAAAGCTCCTCAGAGCATAGCGAGAAAAATGCTTTACGTTTACTTCATAAAATCCATCGAACGCTTTGTAGGAATGCTTTCGGGGTCGAGGCTTTGCTAGATGTTCATGCAGTAGGTTTCGGGGTCTGGCCTCTCCCGTTACCCCGGAAAAATAGGGTGCCTCTCGGCCAAGGCAGGCTCCTGTACGAAAATTCCACAGAATGGCGCCAGGAAGGCCAAGGGAATAAGGCCGCGAAACCCTGGCGATAAAGTATCTCTAAGCCTTCGTAGAAGTCCATGAACCCATATGTGCATGTTGAAGCCCACAACTGAGAGAAAGGCACCATTAATTGTAGACAAAACGCTTCTCAAGCCTAGACAAACGGGTGCCCAGTCCTGGATAAATTGTCGCCAAAAAAGTCCTGGTAGAGGGGTGCTTCAAAACTGGGTACAGGAAAGCGCTCCAGACCTGAGTACAGGAAAGCCCGTGTAAATCAGAGCCCCGAGCCAGGCAGATAATTGCCACCTAATTCTAAGCAAAGGGATTCCCCCATCCGAAATAGAAGGCTGCCTCAAGCCGGGGAAGATGGAGCCTAAATCAGCAAGCTCGCTGCGCCGACAGAGGGCGTGCCCAAGTCAAGGTGAACGGCACGAACTAAATCAGGAGAATATCCCCAACCGAAGAAGGGACGTCCCAAGCTAGGTCCATACGGCGGCCCCCTCAGTCCATGGTACACATTACACAAACCCGTAGGTGGGCGGCTCTCCGTCCACGCAAATCAATATTCCAAACCCAAATGGCTCTGGGGGGTAGCGGGGGGAGGGAGGGGTTCAAATACAGATAGAGGGACGTCCCCAAGCCCGTGAAAAGGCGAGGCCAGCATACCAGTAACACCCGCGGCCAAACCGCAATACAGGGAGACTAAAGCTTGGCAAGAGGGCACCCCAAACTCAACAGACAGAGATACAGGCAACGCGCTGACACCAAAAGCGTAGCTATGGTCATGCCGAGAACCTAGGTTTTATCTAGGCTGCTCCATCACTCAATAAGCAAATGAAGTCGTGTACCACTTTAACCTAACGAGGATTACAAAACTGAGAAAAGGGGAATTTGCTTGTTTTAGACTGAGCTGTACTATTTCTTTGTGTTATTTCATGAGTTGACATTTCACCATCGGGCGCCAAAAAAAGATCGACGGACTGACCGCAAAGTAACCAAAATGGACTTTGGCTCCCCAGGCGGTAACATTGGCACTGGGATCTTAGGCCTTTTTTAAATGAAGACAGTACATTCTTGTAAGCGATATGCATTAATTTGGTGAAGCACATATATCGAATTACGGTCATGTCCATGTATTTGAAATCTGAGCACCAATGGGGTCTGTAAGCTATCTTGACATAAATAATTCATCCCCAGGAACCTGGTGGATTTGACACTTTTTGACATCGTAGGTGGACATCTACCGCGAATGAGAATGTGTCACGTGCTTTAGTTGGGTGTTTTTTCAGACCTTGTATCATATTTCTGCGCGATGTGCTGAACGCCATTCTTTTGCTTCTGCCGAAGATGCAGGTAGATATTAACGATATTCTAACGGAAAATATATAACAACAAATTTTAGCAATTTTATAGTATCTTGATCTTTAACCTGTTGAGCCAAGTCAAGCAAAATATAAGATCGATCGAGTGTTACCCAGAAAACATTAATTGCAACGTAATACGTCCTGGTATTTAACAATGTCTACAGGAAAAGACTACTAACTTTGACACACCCACACACCCATAACCACACCCATATATACATATATATATATATATATATATATATATATATATATATATATATATATATATATATATATATACTGTTGATTTAATAGCATGGCTTGTTCCGCATTGAAGACTTTTTCTGTAATCTCAGTATTTCTGAGAACAGGCCATACGTTAGCTTGATGTTCGTAAATGGTGTCCTCCATCACCTAGGACTGAAAGCAGCGGAAACGTTCTTACGCTTAACAACACAGGTAATTCGAACGTTCGACTCCTGTATTTGCTACGATTTAGCCATCATTAAACTCAGCCTAAGGCAACAAATAAAACAAAATAATTGTTGTTCAAACATGAACGATAAATGTACAAGATCTGCTTGATGATCTTTAAAATAGCTTTTTCAGATCAAAGCCCCACACAAATGTGGAACACTTCAAGACAACGCACGACTACCTACAAGATGTGGGCATCTTCAGCGACATCCAGAAAGGTCATATGGCTGAGGCATACGCAACGAAAATAATGCAGGTTGAAGCAAAAGTCTCAAAGCACGTCATCTAGCGCTAATCTCCTGTTTGTCTGGCCCTCGACACTGAGCGCTGGTGCAGTGCTCCCAGTTCAGCACTGCTTGCAGCTTTTTTCGCTGCCGCTGACGAAATTGCAATGTTACAAACCAGTAAGCCTTGTGATACAGCTAGTTTGTCAGTATTTTTTTCAATGATGATAAATGGCGCCGTTTTGCAGGCGTAACCCTAGCCTCCTGTTCACAGTTGTTACGGTGCGGCCTTTGTAG